CTGCAAGGTTGGTGGTTCAAACCCACCATCCGCTCCTTGGGAGCAAGAGGAGGCTGTTTGTTCCTGTCAAGATGCACAGTCTCAGAAAGCTCAGGGAGCAACTCCACTGTCCCGGAGGCTCACTGTGAATAGGACTCGGTTTGACCACAGCGGGCTTGGCTGCTTTTCCTGAGCTAGTGGACGTGTGTTGGGTGAGTGGTCCTCTGTTGCCATCGTTATTTTGCTGTCCCCAGTGACGCCCGTGGGAGCCCCCTTGAACTTGCTGCTGTGCATCTTTCCCAAGCTTCCATCCTTCTGCTCTCGGAGCCCTTCTGTGTTTAAGATGCTCCGGGTTCATCTTGTCCCGTCCGGTCCCATTCTAGAGCCAGCCATCTCTCCAAAGGGCCCTGGTGGGACCAGGAAGTGAAGGCCTGCCCGGGCCTCTGTGCCCCCAGCTTCTTTGGGCTCGTTCTGCTCCTATCACAGGCCTGGAAGGGGCTGCGGCTGGAGGGAGAGGACAAGGGAAGGGAAGGGGAGGCGTCAGAGCCCGTGAGAATGATCCCCAGAGAGGTCCTGGGGTTTGGGGCACTGTGGCCCAGCATGCCTCGGACTTGACATGAAAATCACTGTTCTTTCAAAATGCAAGCAAACCGATACCGGAAGGCAGTGGACTGAAGCAACACTTTTAGGGGAAAAGCTTGCATGAAATTTGACCTCTGGATTTGGCAAGATTTGCTCTGGGTCTTTTCAGAGCACGCGTGGGTTGCGACAGGGAGACGGTGGTTCCCTTTAGGGCCTGCCTTTTTTTGTTTTTACCTGCTGTCCACCTGTTTCTGATCACTAGTATCAAATGCGGAGTCTCTTCCAGGGTGGTGGAGTGCCAGGCTACGCCAGCAGAGCGTTGCCAAAAACTACTGTGAGCTAGCCAGCGTCTTTCGCACTTTTTTAAAAAGCATGGGTTTTATGTTTCAAGACAGTTTCAGGCTTACAGAAAATGTGGGCAGATAGTACAACGAGTTCCCTTCCCTCGACACCCCGGCCCTCCCTGTGAGATGACAGACAGTACAACAAGTTCCCCTCCTGCCCCTCCTCCCCCGCCCCCGGCTCCTCACCCCAGTGTTCCCCGTGGGTAACATCTTCCATCAGTGTGATGGATCCCTCTCACACCCACTGGACCAACCTCGCTGCAGTATTAGCTAGGGCCCACACTCCAGCCCCGTTCCTTTGTTTTCCCGAATGCCGTCTGGCTGCCCCGGCAGCTCATTGCAGAGGCCACCTGGAGAGAAGGTAGCTGTCAGGTCTCCCCGGGCCATTCCTCTGCACGTGACTAAACGGGTCTCAGCCTTGCTTGTGTTCAGTGCCCTTGACAGCCTTGAGGAGCCCCGGCCACGTGCCTTGTAGGGTGCCCTTCGAAGAGACTGTGTCTGGCATTTGTTTCATCACGGGGGATGTGGGTTTGGGGAGGAAGACCACAGCGGGGAACCGCCCCTCTCCTCACCTCCTGTAAGAGATTGCCTTACAGCAGGTGTACCTGGCACGACTCCGCACTGGCACCTGCACTGTTGTTGCTGTGTTTTTAATTGTGATAAAAAACACACACACAGCACCACCACCCCCAAAACGAACCATTTGCCAATTCTACAATTAAATAGAATAATAATTGAGTTTCTTGCAGTGCTTGGAAACAGAAACAGCAAAACCTGACACTGGTTCCACAGCGTCCACATGACCAGGTCAGCGAGCTTGCTGATCATCTTCAGTTGGGGACTTATGCCCCCCCACCCTCTTGTTCTTCCCCAGCTGGCAGGAAGCACAGGCCCCAGCCTCTGGTCTGACCTCCCGAATGGCTGTTGTCAGCGCGACCCCTGGTCGATAGTTCTTGAAAGAGCACAACAGATATTCTGCACTTATCAAGCTCTGGTGACGGAGTGGTTATGGTGTTGGGCGGCAGTTTGGAAACACCAGGTGCCCTTTGGGGCTCTTTCCCCCTGTCCTATAGGGTCGCTATGAATCCGAATCCACTCAATGGCAGTGACTTACTGATTGCTTGACTTAAAAGTATTTTTTTGCACTACGATTTAAACTTTTTAAAGATTAGGGGGGTTACCCAGACTCCACGAATCCAGAAAGTGTGGACTCAACAAGACTTTGGAATTCTGTTGTGTATTCTCCCCGTTTGATCAGGCCTCTTCGATAGCCTCTTTGAATAGATGTTCAGTATCGGGAGCAAGGCTGTCATCCAGCCATTGTTACACATACAGTTTATCCGTTGCAGCATGGCTTACGTCCATCATGTTACACAACCGTCACCACCGTCCTTGTCCTCAACAGAAAGCCAGTGGCCCTCTTGTGGGAATGAGCATGGCCCCCCAGGGCGGCCACTTTTTTGGGAGTAGCAGTTATTCAGGCCAATGTAAGTCAACGTATGTGGATCACACGATGCTCACTGCTAACTGAAAGGTTGGCGGTTCAAACCCACCCAGTGGTACCGTGGAAGAGAGGCCTGGTGACTGTAGGCAAGAAAACACAGTATCAAAAGCTTCTCCTCTGGAATTGTTATTTTGGTACTCCTGTTCACACTGCCCTGTCCCCAGGCTCGGGCGTGCTCGGTCCCATTCTCCAGAGGAGAGGTGAGGCTTGGAGAGGTGAAGCCACTGTGGCTGGGATATTGTGGCCAGTACCGACTCCCTACTCCATACCCCTGGCTCGTTCTCAGTTGGGTTGGTAATTATTAATATCCCACTATACATGCCTTTTGTTTTCTTTGGGGTTCATTCCTGAGGGTGTGTTTTCCAAAGAGGAGTTACTGGGTCGAAGGGTGTGAGGTTTTCACTGCCAGGTGGCTCTTGAACAAGACAGAGCCAACTTGCTGCTGGGCCCAAGCAGCCCACTGGGCCTGTCAACCCACATCTAGAACCTCCAACATGGGGTGTTCGTACCAAATTGATAAAACCAACCAACCCACTGCCACCAGCTGGTTCTGACTCTTAGCAACCCGATAAGACGGGATAGGACTGCCCTGTGGGTTTCTGATATTGTAACCCTTTAAGGGAGTAGAAAGCCTCATCTCTCTCCCGTGGACTGGCTGGTGGTTTTGAACTGCTGACCTTGAGGATCGCAGTTCAATGTGTAACTCCTATGCCACCAGGATTCCTGAGTCTTTATTTTTTATCCCGCTGCTTTGTCATGTACACTCACCTCTTTTAATCTTCTAGCCACACTGGTGACTTGGTATGCAATAACGGTTGGCTGTTTTCTCAACTCTCAATCCCTGCTGAGGGACAAGGGTTTGGCTTCTCTGAGATTCTTTACAGGAATGCGCCTTTGGGCCCTGAGAGCATCTCCTGTTCTTGCCTTGTGAGAGTGAGCCCAGTCCCCAAAGGTGACCGTTGAGCTGGGAGCAGCAGTTATCAGGGTCAGTGTAGCACAAACGGTGCCCGGCTACAGACCCCAAAGCGAGCAGTTCCAAACCCACCCAGTGGCACCAGGGAAGAGAGGCCAGGCGATCTGCCTCCCCAAAGAGGACGGCCAAGAATGCTCCGTGGAGCTCAGTCTACGCTGTGTCCATGGCACCGCTCGTGGAGCTCAGTCTAC